GAAGTAATCGCTATTCCTCTCTTTTCAGACACTTTTCCCGACATTTCCCTGAACAACGAGAAAACCCTGCCAGAAACCAGCTATCCCAACCAAACGACGCGACTGCCACCAATAACCTACACGGGGCGCTTCTCCCTAGAGCCGGCCCCCAGTAGCAGCAACACCTTATGGCCAGAGCCCCTCTTCAGCCTTGTCAGTGGGCTGGTGGGCATGGCTAATGCACCTTCCACCTCTACGCCTTCTTCATCATCACCATCCTCCTCCTCGCAGAGCCCCCCTCTGAGCTGTTCTGTCCAAGCCAGCGAGAACAGTCCAATTTATTCAGCCGCACCAACTTTTCCCAATTCTAGCTCTGACATTTTCCCTGAAGCGCAGACCCAGTCTTTTCCCAACCCCTCTGGAGCCCCCATCCAGTATCCACCTCCAGCTTATCCGACTGCGAAAACCAACTTTCAGGTGCCGATGATCCCGGATTACCTGTTCCCTCAGCAACAAGGTGAGCTCAGTCTTGTTCCGGCTGATCAGAAGCCCTTTCCAGCCCTTGAGACCAGAGCACAGCAGCCTTCCCTCACACCGCTGTCCACTATTAAGGCGTTTGCTACCCAGACTGGCTCCCAAGAGTTGAAGACCCTCAACACTAACTATCAGTCCCAGCTGATCAAACCCAGCAGGATGAGGAAATACCCAAACCGCCCCAGCAAGACCCCTCCTCACGAGCGACCCTATGCCTGCCCAGTGGAATCCTGTGACCGAAGGTTTTCACGGTCCGACGAGCTAACACGGCACATCCGTATTCACACGGGACAGAAACCTTTCCAGTGCCGCATTTGCATGCGGAACTTCAGCAGGAGCGACCACTTGACTACCCACATCCGCACACATACAGGAGAGAAGCCATTTGCCTGTGACATTTGTGGCAGAAAGTTTGCCAGAAGCGATGAGAGGAAGAGACACACTAAAATCCACCTTAGGCAGAAGGACAAGAAAGTGGAAAAGGCAGCTCCGGTCTCAACTGCTTCCCCAATTCCTGCCTACTCATCCTCTGTGACTACATCCTACCCTTCCTCCATTGCCACCACTTACCCTTCGCCGGTGCGCACAGTGTATTCCTCCCCTGCTCCCTCTTCCTATCCCTCCCCTGCACACACCACATTCCCATCTCCTTCTATAGCAACCACTTACCCCTCTGGCACTGCCACTTTTCAGACCCAAGTGGCCACCTCCTTCTCATCTCCAGGGGTCACCAACAATTTCAGCTCACAGGTGACCTCAGCACTTTCAGACATGACGTCAGCCTTTTCTCCAAGGACAATTGAGATTTGCTGAGATTACCTTCTGGAACAGGAGGATTCACCCTTTCCATTGGTACTATCAGAAATGGAGTCTCCAATTACTTCCCAACACCATACATTGCAAGGCTCTTTAACTTTTCTTCAAACTTCAGCTGCCTGAAACAACTGCCATTTAAGTTTTCCACCTCTGTTGAATGAATTAATTTGCATGGACTGTGGAAATAAGTTCAGTATAATTTTCCCCGTAAACAATAGTCTTTTATTAGGAAGAAAGGACTTTTGATTAAGTATGTAGCTGATGTAAATTGTACATGTGCCATGGTTTTGCTTTCCTTTAGGTACTATTGATGTGAACAATCTTTGCATATCCATATTGTATTATTTGGAGTTTGCAGGGCCATATTTTGTAACTGTTAATTCTACTTCAGTGACAATGCTGTAATGAGTTTCAAACTTCTTTGGGAACAGCACTTAATGTATTTGAGCATGTTAGAGTGATGCTATGTAAATATCACCTGATGAGACACTCACATGTGGCAGAAGTTTTGTTTTTAAAGTTACAAGTCTTGGTGCCTTTTTGTGAAGCCTTGCTGATGTCATGCATTTGTGTGAATGGATGCTTTGCATCTTGCCTTAAAGTGAAAGGGATGTTACTCAAAGAATGTAAGGGAGAGGAGGGAACAGGTGGGGAGAGGAGCACGAGAAAGCCCTGGGGGACGGAATGTAAGCAAAAAAAAAAAAAAAAACCCCACACCTCTCAAAGTCTATTTTTGTTACAAAAATGTAAATTTATATATATATTCAGGAGTTGGAATGTTGTAGTTACCTACTGAGTAGGCAGCAATTTTTGTATGTTATGAACATGCGGTTCATTTTTTTGTGGTTTATTTTTACTTTGTAATTGTGTTTGTTTAAAATGAAAGTGACTGTTTGGCTTCTAAACACATCGAATGCGCTTTCCTGCCAATGGGATATTTGATGTACAATACTCTTCAGAAAAAAATAAATAAAATATCAAATCGTGCAGATTTCCACATTTTCCTTTAAGTTGCTACATAGGAAGACTGTGCTGCAGCAACCCTGACTCCTTGAGTGGCTGGGAAGTAACAAATGCTGCTTGTCTCCTGGAGGAACACCCGCTTAAAGAAAGGAGAGGAGACCAATCACTCCGAATTCCGGTTGCTCGCAAAGGCATGGATGGAGCGCGCACACGCACACACACGCACATCCTTGCATTAGGTGCATTACCTCCTCTTTTGAAGTAGCCACGATTTCTGTTTTCTGGCTTTTCCAGAAGCATGTGAGCTAATCTTAGGAAGAAAAACAATTCTCCCGGTGCTGAAAATGAGGTTTGAAAATTAGAATTTCAACTGTGCATTCATAGATAGTCAGAAATCTTACTGGAGAGCATGCTAATAGAGCAGTTTCTAGGCTGGAAATACAAAAAGCTCAGTCCAAAAAGCTTCCAAATGGTTTGTCAGAAGGCAGCCCTGCTCAGCTGAAGGCTGTCATGAGTTCCTCCTTGACACAACACAGGGCATGTAAATGCGTAGGCCTGATAGCCTTTAGTATAGATGTTTCAGCATTTATAGGAAAGCACTTCCTTAGGCATATTTCAGAGGGTATGTGAATTCTCTGCAGAATAAATTCGGAGAAGCTTGCATCCATGAGAACTGGTAGTGCAGGTACAGAGGAGGCTTCTGGTGTCAGTCCTTTCAGATGAGGTCTTTGCAGATCACTAATGTGAGGAGCTGGGATCCAGATGAATGCATCCGGCACAAACTGGCAAGCAGTCCCTGTCGGACACAGCATGCTCTAGTGCTTGCCAAAACGGACCCCTCTGGCTAGGAAGGGCAACCTGCTGAAGCCCCTGGGCTAGTCTGTCTTCTTGGGGATGCAGCCCACCCCTGGCAAATGGCAGCAATTCTGGAAAATACCTAAGAGCTGAGCAGTTGGTAAACCCCAGTCTGTCATCTCTCAAGCAGGACTGTCCTCAGCCGGTTGCGACAAGCTGTGGGGAAGGGCCTGTGCTGCTTTGTGCTGGTTTGTGCCTGCGGTACTGGGTGCGGTCTGCAAGCTGCTACTGGTGACTTTGCAGCTGGCCCTGCTGGGCCTTTTCAGAGAAAAGCGCTAGCTCTTTTCAACCCAAAGGGCTCCGGCCAAGGCAGGTTGACTGGGCAAGCTGAATATTTGGCTTTGTGCTATCTGCGCATGTAACCCATGTCAGAAGCCAGAGAAATCCACTTATGGGAGATGAGACAATGAAGAAGGACCTTCAAATGTGGTGCTTCAAAGAAGGAAGCAAATAACATTATGTAAAGCTAACCACAATTTTTTTCCCACCTCCAGTTCCCAAAGTAAACAGCAAAATAAACAGTTGGAGTCAGCCCAAGCCCATTCTGATTTGTGGGCACTGCTCTGTTCAGATGGGTAGGATAGGATAGTTCAGTTGGAAGGGACCTAGAGCCTACAATGATCATCTAGTCCAACTGCCTGACCACTTCAGGGCTGACCAAAAGTTCAAGCATGTTATTAAGAGCACTGTCCAAGTGCCTACTAAACACTGACAGGCACAGGGCATCGACCACCTCTCAAGGAAGCCTGTTCCCATGTTTGACCACCCTCTTGATAAAGAAATGCTTCCTCATGTCAAATCTGAACATCCCCTGATGGACGCAGCTTTGAACCGTTCCCACGTGTCTTGTCCTGTCACTGGATACCAGTGAGAAGAGCTGTAGATGTTGTTGTCTTTTCAAGCTCGTCTCTGCTAGCTCCTGGTCAAGCCTTCTGGAACTGTGATTGTGCTAAAAGCTGACCAAGTGGGCTCTCAAGCAATGCCCAATGAGCCTGAGGGTGCCCCAGGTTCTCCAGAGCACTTTCTACAAGAATGAGCAGTGATGGTAATTGCCACACCTAAAGAGGCAGCAAAGATGAGTGCTCTTTGGTGCATTGTGCGCAAAGTAGATTGAGTCAGGCAGTGTTGCAGGGCTATTCAGGAACGAAGGCCAGAGCACCCTTTCCAGCAGCAGGGCATATCTCTGATGTCTGGCTAGCCATCTCTGCATGAGACTGGCCCATGGGTGTCAAGGTAGCAGTGCAAGGCAGGTGATGGGATCTGCAAGGCCTCTTTAGTTCAAAGAAACACTGGTCCTACTTGCCCCATGCTTTTCCCACTCTGTGATGGTAGATCCTTTCAACTTGTGGACGCCTCCAAAAATCCACCCTAACACTCCCCACCCCCATCACCTTCTTAGGCCTTCTCTTGAGGATGCTGCAGTCTCCCTTTAAACGGAAGAATTCTGGCCTCCCACAGCTGTGGGCATTGATCACAGGCACTCCATAGGTAGTTGTGTCCCACTGCAGGGACGTTCAGAGGCACTGAACCAGGTATGTAGGGTTACCATTGGCCCCATGTTAACCCTGACTCAAAAAGCTGTATAGCTGAGTAGTGCAGGCCAGCAATGTTCTGAGGGAAGGGCTCAGCACCAGTGCACCGTAGCTTGCCTAAATTGCAGCAACTTGTCCTTTGCGTTTGCCATCCCTTTTTATAGCATAAAGGAAAGAAAATGCATGGGATCTTTTGCTCCCATTCTTTCCATGGCCTTTGCCCCAGAAAATGAAAGCAGATTTCAGGGCTGACAAAGCATTGACCGTACGTTTTCTGCGAGATCTTTTTGGTTGCTGTTGGTCTGAAGATGACAAGATTTCTGATTCTTAAAAAGTTCGCTCCAAGTCTAATTGAGAGCGTAAGTTGGTCTTAAGGAAGCTATTCCCAGGGCAACAGAAGGTGTTGCGATCGGCCGGGGAAACCCCTTGCCTTCCCTGCAGATAAAGCCCGAAGCCCGCGCAGGAAATGCAGCGGCAGGGGAAGGAAGCGAAGGCCTCTTGCGTTTCCAGTCACTGGCAGAAAATCCATTTGTCTGACTTAAACCTCAGCTGTTTGTGATTTAAAGCCCAACTTCAGCTCTGACCGCTACCGGCAGGAAAAGCCGTGCGTCACCGCTGGCGGCAGCCCAGCTGGTCTCGAGGGGCACCGCGCGGACACGCCGCAGCTGCTCGCGGAACC